TGAACAAGACTCGATTCTTCACATGTCTGGCGCTGGTATTAAATTCTGTAGTTCTAATATCTTTTTTATATATTAATGCCCCTTTTTCAAAATCAACATATTCATTTTAACGTTAATTAAAATGACCTAACAAATAGGCTCATGCTATTTGTATGTTGTAATATTTCAATATAGGTTTTTTTTTACAATGTTTTTAGTCTGTTCCTATAGATGTTTTCAAATGTCATTAGAAGAGCGTAACCATTGCTGATTTTACGATCATTTGCTAAATAAACATTATTTATTTGACAAACTATTTGCGTGGTTTGTAAATTGAGCAATCGAATTTTCTATTTTCACACCATCTCCCGCCAATGTCCGTATTTAGTATGCATAATGCGGTAACTATTACCACAAGAAATACGAAAAGTAGGGTGTTGCAGAATTACTCCAAATCTGTCCCCTGGTCGTTGAAACGTTTCATTTCCGATAAATCATCTGATCGCGTTCAAAATTTGCTTTGCATTTAATATTTATAAGATAAATTTTTATTGATTGATTTCTTAAGTGTACATTTTTGTTATAAAAATCTTTATGCGAAGCGGTTTAAAGAACGCCATGATTTTTAAGTGAGTATTTATTGGTTTAATATATCTTAAAGTAATAGATTGTAAATTACAACAGAAGAATATAAAAGTCGTAAAAGAATATAACAAAATTTCCTATTCTATCTGAAGACAAAAGTTCTGAATTGTTAATTTTTAAAAATAATGTGCTTTACAATTTAATTCTATGTTTTTTTTTATTTATGTAAGTTGATAAATCATAAAAACAGGGTTTTGAGATTTTTGATGATATTGTGTGTTCTATTGTATAGAATGAGTGGTGTTTTTTGATATGTGTCAAAAGACGAAAAGTAGATTTTCAAGAATTGTTTTTGTGTTCAAAAAATATTGTTACATTTAGTAGCCATTGAACTAAGATAGTTGTGGGTTATAAGGCATAGCTAGACCGAATACAAAGCTTAATAAGGGTAGGCCTACCTTAATAAATTTGGTTTTTTCTTTTATAAAAAACTATTCAATTTAATTACACTTAGAATTTTGACACTTATTTAAATTTAAAATGTTTCATTTTTATCATTACAATGGAGAACTCTTACAACTTTTTTTTGAAAACACTTGAAAAAATAGAAGATGATATTTTTTTGTTATGTAGACCGAGTAGTAAAAAGCAAATCTACAGGAAAAGTGCAAGTAGTGAGAACCCCATTGAAATAAAAAAATGTTAATTTTTTTTTCAATATTAACTAAAATTTAGAGTATTTAGGTCAAATTTAATTGAATCCTAATAAAAAAGTTTTTTTGTTCAACTTTTATAATGGAACATAAAATCCGTATTTCTTTTCTGCGTTTTTCTTCTGTTCAACTTTCACTTATAGACTCTAGAAATTATAATCATTCGAAACATAAGATTGAATTGATGCTCAATAGTACATTTATTAAAAATATTACAGTTTTTAATAAAAATAAAATTTGAAATAATTTTACGATGTAGTTATTAAATCGAAACTAACTTTTTCAACTAACAGAGATATATTTAGATTTAGTTTATTGGCATATATTAAAATATGTATAAATTATTTCATTAGTTTACTGTAATAAATTTATTGAATTCTCGAATTTTTATCAATGACAGAGCAAGAATATCAATTAGTTCAAAAACTATTTAATAAAACTCAAAAAAAAAAAAAATGTTAAAGGTGTCTATAATTTGAAAAATCAGTGAGATAAAATGTTTAAGTTAAGAATTAATGAATAGAGAATTAAATATTACAATTAATAAATTAAGAATTAATTAAAAAATTATAAATTATTTATATCTGAATTTTTGTTTAAAAATTAAATAATAAAATTCATTAATTTATGGTCAAACTAAAAGAAAAAGAGTTCATATAACACAAGTTTAACGATTCCTAATAAATGTATAATTAATACATATTATTCAATGTTAAATAATATAAGTTCAGTCAAGTTTTTGTTGAATTTTGAAACTTTAAATATATAAAGATAAATAATATATTTTTATATATTAAATTACTCATCTACCAAGTTATTTTATGTATTTATCGTAATTAATTTAAATATAGTTGATTAAGAATAAATTAAATGAATAATTGCATATATCTATGCATTATTGTACAGGTATATATAAATTGTATGAGATAAAATGAGAAATAAAAAAGTTCATTTTAGAAAACATTACTTATTCGTACAACTAAGAGTGAAATTTATTGGTAATTTAGAAAAAACAAAACATACGTATTAAAGAAAAGAGAATGCAAATTCCTGTCAATTTCGTTAATATGTTTGCTTAAAAAAATACATTTTTACGGCTGAATGACTTTACACTTATACTAATAACCAGTGATGGTTCCGCTCTGAACATATGAAACTACGCAATTATTATTTATTATTTCCTATCATTGATGTAAATACATTAAAGAAGTAAAAAACTTAAAAAAGTTAAATAAATAGATAAATTTAAATATAACCGAGAAATATTTTGTGAGATATAATAATGCAATAACACCTATTGGGTTTGACAGAGCGTTAATATGGAGTCTATACTTGTATTGTTTTGTATATGCTTCTCAATATGTACCAATTGAAGGAGTAGATGGCAATGATTGTGCTGTAATATTGGAAGGTTCAAAACATTTTATATACAACAATGGTCATGGTCTACCGTAAGTATACAAGATATTTCTTTAGGAATAATATATATATTTTTTTAATATTTATAACATTTACACAGACAACGATCGTCAGCTCATACTTGTATTACATACGACACTGTGAATAGGGTTTTTTTGGAAAGTCAAAATAATCACAGTAAGATTCTTGCATAATATTGTAAAATTATACATAGCAATTTTTATAATGGATATTTTTATAACTTTCAGAGATTTTAGATCCAAGTGAAGTATGGGGACCTCAACATTTTGCCCAACTCGGGGAGCTTTTGTTGGAAGTGTCTCGTATGCTGTCAAAAATGTAAGGTTTTCACACTGAGTATAATGTGGTTTATAAATTTGTATTGTAGTAACTCAAAAGAAAGAATAAATATAATAGGGAAAGTTACTATTTGTTTTTTAATAATGTTATCTCGTGGGTATGAGTACGAGTGTTCATGAGAATAATGAAAGTAATAGAAAAACATAGTGATCTTAGCTTTAATGCAAAGCTGAAAAGGTATTTTTTTTATGTCTATCGGCACTTTTTCTCAGATCGCTAGACTCGTATTCTTTTAACAATACGCCAAAAGATCAAAAATCGTATTTAGTTGAATACATTACCATTAAAAATTGAAAAATTTCCTCTCATTTCCTGTAAATGGAGGAAACCCCCAAAAATAACAATTTTTAAAATCTATAAATTTTGACATTTTTTTTTCTTAAAACTGTCATAACTTTTTAAAAAATGAACAATTCAAAATAATTTTATTTTATATAAAAACCTTATGTATTTTTCTTTTATTTGATATAATTTTTTTTTAAACCTGACCCTTTACCTGCCCACAGAGGCGGATTCAAAGTAGCAACTTTTTCACAAAAGTCAAATTTTTCAAATTAACTTATGACAATGTTCCAAAAATAATATGTCCTTTAAATATATGTTAAAGTAAAGCTTATGTTACGTAATTTAAATTAAAAAATAAAATGTGTCCCGACGACTTATCTTTTAATTATAAATCGGTGTCGTAGTTAAACATATGCTACTTTTGTCTTAAAATTCTTGTTACATACTATAATTAAAAAAAAAAAATGTTCCAACAATCTATCTACTATGTATAAATGTCTGTCAAAGTTGAACAATATATTAATTATTTATTTATATATTACACTTATATATCATAAAAACTTTAATCAATATATAAATTAGGAAATTGGAGTTAATTTTGCTTTTGGAATAATCCACAAATTTCTTAAAATTAAACATAATCTACAGATTTGAATCAAAACGTTTCTTATGATAGTGATATGAATCACTGTTAAATATCATCTTTACTTGTCCCAACTATGCCACATCACACTGTACTACCGTTTTTATTTATTAATATAAAGATGATTGTGACCAATTGACGTGTTCTTTAATATCAATTATTTAATAATAATATAGTGCGGACAGTTATCAATGATAGGTGGGGTGGAGTCACTATATGTATCTAACCCATAGTAGTACGGTGGCTATATATATGAATCTCCACCTTGGCTCCCGGCATAGACACGTACCAATGATCTTATTCTGCCAATTAGCTCCGTACAAACACTATTGATTTACTTTAATAACTATTTTATTTTTAGTGATCATTTAATCTTACATTGTCCCTATTTAAACTATGTACTCAAAAGAAATGATTAATTTTAAACTTTATCATTTTAATTAATACTAGTATATACCTTAATGTTTCCAGTGAATATTTAGAAATTAATATAAGTCGTCTTGTTTTTTTAATTAAACTTGACTGTGACTGTTCATTTCTAATATATGAGTTAAATAAGTGAAATCAATGATTTACAAGAGTATGCTTAGATAACATTGAGAATAATAGGGGTATACTGCCTGATATTTAAGTCTTTTTTGGTCTCTTAAATATTCTTATTTTGTTAATTCTTATAGTTATATGCATATGCAAGAGGTGTCAGAAACCGTATTATAATCGCTTTATTAAATTTATTTATGTTATTTATTACGTGTTATCTTATAAAATCAATACACAATTCTAGACAATGATTCATTATTGAATAATGTGACAACTTATACTATTATTTATGTAAATCTTATCATTTCCATAAAAGTTTAGATATATAATACAGTTTATTGTTTAATTGATAATAGTAACGATGTTACACATATGTAACAGGATGACATCATTTTTACTTGACAGATAATAATTATAATGATATCATAGTTTATTGCTTAACAAATAAGGATTAAAATGAGAGATTAATGTATCATAACAGTACTTGAATTATATATATTTAATTTTTTTCGAATTAATACAATTTTTACTGTAAAATAGGTTTGACTTAAGTGCTGAAGATGTAAACAAATTTTTACCAATGATTGATACTTCTAAAACATTAATTAGAAATATATGTCCTTCATGTTTATCGAGAGTAGCTTGTAAAGCTGGAATATATCGTAGACCCGATGGTTTATGTAATAACATAGCTAACCCGAACTGGGGGTCTACTATGTCTACATTCAACCGATTAATAGCTCCTCGTTATTCCGATAAAATATCATCACCTAAATTTTCTGCATCTGGAGATCCCCTACCATTACCTAGGGTTGTGTCTCGAATAGTTCACCCTGATGACGGCCATCATGAACATGCTGGAACTGTTATGTTAGTTGCTTGGGGTCAATTTATAGATCATGATCTTACATTAACGGCAACACCATTAGGTAATTGTTGAACTAACTGAAATATATTGTTAGACAAAAACTAATTAAATAAAAATTAATTAGATCCAGTGAATAGAAACGAACCCGAAGAATGTTGTGATCGCCCTGAACATTTGAAAAACAAGTATTGCTTTGAAATAAAAATACCAGAAGACGATAGTTTTTATAAGAGTCATAATTTGAAATGCCAAGACTTTGTTAGGTCGTTTCCAGGAGTGCAGTCTAATTGTAGATTAGGTATTGTTATTCACAATAGAAATATTTAAACTTAAATTTAGTTATTTTAATTTAAGAATTTTTTTAGGCCCAAAAGTACCGTTTAATATGTTGACTTCAGTTATTGATGGCAACACCATTTATGGAGTTGATGAACTGACTTCAAGATACTTGAGATCTGGATTTACTGGTCAATTGAGAATGAATCCAGCTTTTGCAGATTTAGGTTTAAAAGACCTTCTTCCAATGAAATTGAATATTCCGGATGAAGGCTGTATAAGGGAAAATTCTTCACAGTATTGTTTTGAATCAGGTAAAAAATTTGAAAAATATATTATGTTTTATAATAAAAAATTAAGCACTCATATTATCATATATTATTTTTAGGGGAGGTAAGAGTCAATGAACAACTCGTATTGACGTGTGTTCACACATTAATGGCTCGAGAACATAATCGAGTTGCAAAAGAATTATCTCAAATTAATTCACATTGGAATGATGAAGTGCTTTACCAGGTATCTTAAAAATAAGTTCATTGTTACATTATTTATTGAATACGAGAAAAATAAACTACCAAAAAAAAAAAAATTAATTAAAAATTTTTCATTAAATAACTAAAAAAAAACCATTATTGTTTTTAAAGGAAGCAAAAAGAATAGTCATAGCAGAAATTCAACACATAACATTTAATGAGTTTTTACCGATTCTCTTAGGAAAAGAACTGATGGATAAGTATGATTTGTCAACAAAAAAACAAGTAAGTGAAATAAAAAAAATAGTCGATTTTTAAATAAGTTTAATGTATTTTCTATTGTAGGGATTTTGGGATGGTTATGATTCTGAAGCGAATCCAAACATTTTAGCATCATTCTCTGCTGCTGCTTTTCGTTTTGGCCATTCACTGTTACCTAATGTAATAGAAAGATGGAGCAAAGCTCATGGATTTATTGGTATTTTCTTATATTTCATTGAATTACAAGATAAAGTAAAACTATAACCATTTGTGTTTTCGTAACTAATATTTTTTACGATTTTTAAAATTTTTCAGCTTCCAAAAGACTTTCAGATTTGATTCGTAGACCATTTGATTTATATCGAGCAGGTGCATTTGATGAATATTTTATGGGCCTTATGAACCAAGTAGCGCAGGCAATGGATGATTCGGTAACGAGAGAGGTTACTAATAATTTAATTAAAAAGCCAGGAAAAGGTTTTGGTTTTGATCTAGTTTCGTTTAATATACAAAGAGGAAGGGACTTTGGACTACCCGGGTATATGGAGTTCAGGCGTCATTGTGGCTTACCTGTAGCCAATACATTTGAAGAAATGAAAGGCTTTATGTCTAATATTACAATTCAAAAATATAAAATTGTTTATGCGTGCGTATCAAATAAGAAACTTAAATTATAATTGCTTATAATAAGTAAATATTGTTATAATTTATTACTTTATTAGATCTCCTTATGATATTGATTTATGGTCTGGTGGCGTGTCCGAATATTCGGCTTCAGGTAGTGTTATTGGACCTACATTTGCTTGCATCATAGCTACACAATTTAGTCAACTAAAAAAAGGGGATCGTTTCTGGTACGAGCTTCCCAACCAACCTTCTTCTTTTACACTTGGTAAGTAAGTGTTGTAATATAAAGATAACTAGGCTTCGCCTAGCTGGGGCTCCGCCTCAGACCCGGAGCCCTACGAGCCTTACACGCCTTCGGCGCATAAGCCTCTTCGGGCCGTCATTATAAGTAGGCCACTGATTTCGGTAGGAGTAAAACACGATAAGTGTTTTGCAGACAAAAAATTACATCAGAATCAGTGTAACAAAAATATATTAAAATGTAATTATTAAAATCAGGAAAATTCAAAAAGAGAATATAGTAAAATGTATTGGGTATAAGGTTGACGTTTGTTAATAAGGTATCTTATTACCAAGGTTATTAATAACCTAAGGTATTTTTGTTATCATATCTCAGGAATGTCATTGGGTGGGTCTGGGGAAAATTTCAAACCTTAAGTCGTAAATCGCTATCAGCGAGCGTTTTTCTTGAAAATGGTCGAAATTTTAAGACACTCACGGTTGGGTGGCAAAAATTTTCCGACCTACTCCAATAATTTTCCCGAAATCTGGTGACCGAGTACTATCGTTGAAAAAAAAGTTTTTGAAAATGCGTTTTTATTTCTTGTTTTATTATTTATATAATAAGATTAATAAAAACAAAAATATTTTACTAAGTATATTACTAATAGTAGGTTATTGGTAACAATTGTTTGGTTGATGTTTAGGTTTATTGTGTTATTATTGTGTATTTAATAAATTTAACCAAATTTATCTTTTTATGTAGATCAATTAAAAGAAATTAAAAATGTCAAAATGTCCCGTTTAGTATGTGACAATACAGATATAATTGATACGGTTCAGATGTATCCTATGGTTTTACCTGACCATGAACTGTAAGATTTTGTGACAATTAGTTTATTTTAAAAAAAAGTTTCTAACAAAAATGTTAACTTTAGAAATCCGAGAGTACCTTGTAGAAGTGGCATTATACCAAGAATAGATCTAACAAAGTGGGCAGAGTCATCAGTGGAAACTACTAAACCTAGTTCACGACACGTGAGTATAAATAATTATAAAAGTTGCTAAAAGATTCAATTCTAATAGTAATTTTATAAGAATCAAAATTCATCAGCATAATGTAAATTTTAATTAGTATCTTACTTCTTTTTTAAGAAAAATATTTCTTTCTCATTGTGTTTTTGAAAAAAATTAGAAAAATTAATCTAACGTAATTTTTAACTAAAGATATAATAAAATTTTGAAGTTTATAATTACATTTTTGTTCTAAAATTATTTCCAAACAAATCTAATGCTTTTTATTTTTTTACAAAATTAGGTTACATAAATTTTATTTTCCTATCATACATGGAGTTTAGAGAGTAGATAACATTTATGTCACTCCAAAAATAAAATTAATCCAATTAATTTTTTTTTCAAACTCCCCACATATTTATTATTTAGTTTTCATAAAGTTTTTTTATAATTTGTGAAATAATACAAATATATTTATTAAGTATTTTTATCATTCATTTTTAAAAAATTAAATGAAAATTTACTCTATCAAGATTGTTGATATATAGTACATTTTAAAATGAAAAATACCCTTTGGTGAGGACACTAACGTCTTTAATTTGCTTAAAAATGCAAAAAAATTAATAATCTTAATATGAAAATAATTAGTTTAAGTAGTTACAGTATTTCAAAAATATAAAAAGTAAGTATTGTTATTCTTCTCTATTTAAAATTATAACCAGAAATAAAATTTTGTAATGGTTAGTAAACTTATAAATTTCTTTACTAGTAAATTAGAAAGTAAAATTTTAAGTTGTGATAAGGAAAATAGGTTTTTATAAATATTTACGGTTTTAAAATCATGTATTAATGGTTATAAAATAAATAATTAAAATTTTTAGTCTAATGTGGCAAATAATTTGAAGTCTGGTTTAACTGAAGCTCAGATTTTGGTATGTGAGAACTGTAATATTACTACATCAGGAGCGGAAGATCCAGTTGGCCGTGTTATAACGATAATTGATGTAGATGAAAATATAGATTCTAATACAATATATGGACATACTAGAGTAAAGAGAGGAATTGAAGCAAAATCATTAGCTAACGCAACTGCTGATAACCCTCATCTAGACTTACCGGATGAAATAGCTCTACCACAAAAAAAACCCAAAACCATACCTATTAAACGAGAAGCCAGTGTTGACATGACCCAAGCGATTATGGATGCACGTGAAGATTATGATCAAGATGACGATAACGTTGTTCGATATAATATACCATTTTATGACGGACATCGTATTGTACAGTCTCCCACCAACTATAAAGATTATTATGCAAGTCAAGAAAATGAAGTTCAAGAAAAGGAGGATGAAACTGAAGAAGATGGCGATCATAACTCACATTACGAATATGTTCCCATGGAATTCGATGACAAAGGCAATCACAGGTAAAATTACAACTTAATATTTATTTATAGAATAAAAAAACCCAACTTAGCACAGGGGGGTCGTGGTACACCGCTGACGTGGCATAGTTGGATCAATTATAATGATATCTGACAGTGATTAAAATCACTATCAAAATAAAACGCTTCGATGCAAATCTTTAGATAGTGTTTAATTTTAAAAAATTGGTGTATTATTCCAAAAGCTACATGATCTGCTATTTCCTTATTAATATCCTGATTAAGATACAGTATGTTGAATGAAAAAGGGATATAAATATTATTTCTCATAAAAAAATTGTGTTGATCCATATAGTTTTCAATAAGTTATAGCATTATAAAATTAAAAATGATAAAAATAAAATCGAGTATTTTTACACAAAAACAGCATTTGGTAGCCATTTTAACCATGAAGACAAAATTTAATCTGAAATTTTTTTTTTCCATAATAAAGTACATTACATTAGCTTTATTTTAAGATATATATAAAAATGTCAGACTTTCCGGAACACTTTCAAAAGTTAAGTTGAAAAAGTAAATTTTTTGTGAAAAAGTTGTCATTTTGAATCCCTCTCTATAGGCAGGTAAAGAGTCAGATTTATAAAAAAAAATATACCAAATGATAGTTAAAGACATCATGCATCCATAAAAAAAAAAATATATTGATTCGTTCATTTTTGAAAAAGTTATGGTAGTTTTAAGTAAAAAAAATTGAAAAAAATTCGAAAAATAATGATTTTTAAATTTAAATTTTTTTGGAGGTTTCCCCCATTTACGAAGAACGAGAGAAATTTTTTCAGTTTTTGAGAGTATTGTTTTCGACTAGATACAATTTGTGATCTTTTGACGTATCATTGAATGAAATCGGTTCTGTGAGAGCTGAGAAAAAGTGGTAACAGACACAAAAAAAACATATCATAGTAAAACCAATACCTTCTTGCTTCGCATCGAAGCTAAAATTAAGTGTTAAAAAATTAATGCAATGCAATAATAAGTTAAATAGTCATTATTATACAGTCAACCTGTATAAATTAATAAATTCAAGATTCTTAGTACTAATGTCTCATAAAATTATAATTTTAAAGGTATCATTTATAAATAATAATATTTATGTATAATTTTGTGGTTATAGTGTCGATTTTAAACTTACACTTCTTTAAACGTTAAATAAAATTATTAATGATTTGTACTTTTAGAATATGAAACAGATTATGGATAAATTTTAATGTCGGTATTTAAGAACTTTAAGGCTCTTAATTTACCTTAATAATCAAACCTATCGTCATTAATACTAATTTTCATTAATGTTGATAACTATTTTTTATTACTTTACTCATTTATTAAAAATTTTTAAGTTGGAAAATTTATAACCAATGTTATGTACTTTGGTTTCGGAACTTAATACATTTATAAAGTTTATCTTAGTCATCCTGAGTTTATCAATTATAATTAGATATTCGTTTTTATTTTTTTTAAATACTTATCAATGTATATTTATTAGAATTTTAGTTTAAGGAGGGAAGTGTGGGGGACTAACTCCCCCCTAGAACAAAAATAATTCCTGCAATACTGTACATACCTATTATAAATCTTCATGGCGTTGAACAAGACCTTTTTTTTTGTTATTAATCAGTTTGTTAAAATATACTTTAGAAAAACGATGTACTAAAATAAAAAGTCCCTGTAATGTAAAATAATATATATTTTTAATTTTTAAAAATAACTTGTAACTGTTAAATATTTTTATCAATTATTTTTTCTGTATGTATTTATTATATATATTAAATAAACATGTGTTTTTAATCTATTTTCATGATCATATGAACTCAGTTCAGTATCGACCATAGTACAATAATATATGTAGATACTTATTAACAAATTTTATTTTATATAAAACTTATATATTCACAATTTTTTTTTAAGAGCCACTTTTTAGAGAATTGCAATTTTCAAAATTTGTCCCCCCTTTAATTGGCGTTCACGATGTAAATATATTTTTTTAAGTGCTTAAATTTTTTCCACTGTATGAGTATCTTCAGTAAAAATTGTATAAATAATATGCGAGTAGATACAGGAAATAATTATTTAAATACACTTACTTTCATAAATTATTATGAATTAGTATTATGTTGTTTATTTTAACTTTAAACATTCAACTTTATTAAATTATATTAATATTGTAGTAATTATATTATTTTTTATAAAACAGGCCTTTGACTTTGCCAAAATTTATTGATGTTAAGAAGCCTAATTTCAAACCTAAGTATTATAGTCCTCCAGAGTACAATTCTTTTGAATCAAATCCTCATGATTTCAAACCTATTAGAGGATCGTATTCTAATGGACGAACTAACACGGCTCCCTATAGTGGTTCATATAAAGACACTGGTGCTAATGTAGACTACACAGAAGGCTTGATGAATAAACCTTTTTCGGCACCAAAATCTTATAGCGATTATCTAGACATATCTACTGGTGGTGGTCCTAAATCGTTTATGACAATTGGTAATATCTACGAAGATTCTTCAGATGGTAGTGATGTGATTAGTATTGATCATGGAGAAGCATATAAATCGAATAATAAACATTCAAGATTTTCGCCATCAGAAGGAACAACATCAAATAATAATAAAGGTAATGATCCTTTACACCCATTGCGATATTATCAATCGTCAACGCATGATAACGAAGGTATGTACATTAAGATGCGAGATGAATATCAATCTAAATTAAAGCCTCAGAGTTTTGAATATGACAATTATGATCAGAGTGAACTTTCTTCGTCATCGATTAACTACAGAAAGTCGAATTTCAATGAACCGAATAAAAAGAAAAATAACGCTTATTGGAGAATGTCATTCATGCAAAAAATTCAATAATAATTGTCTTTTTTTTAATAATGTATTTGACTCTTTATGTATTAATGTAACATTTTACCTGATTTATTTTATAGATATAATATAGTATTGTAAATAATTATACAATTTGTGAATTAAATGTGTTTTATTTATAAATTGTCAGCATTCTTTATCATTATATCAAATGAATATTTTTTCGTATTTAATCACTATTCGAGTTTGTTAAGGAATGGAGACACAGAATCGAAATTTTCACAATCTGGAATCATTTTTCCCTTGAACTTGACACAAGAGTCGGCACATAATGGTCCTTCAAAGTAAGCTCCAAGCATTTTTTTGCATTGAGCACAATTTCTGAGGCACATACCCACATCGGCCATATCAGCGATCGTGGTTCCAATGATCATAAACATCATTAAAGCAGCAAAATATTTCTTTGTTGTTCCGTCCATTTTAAATTAAAAACTGTAAATTTATGAAGTAATAAATAAATAAATAAATAAATAGAAAAATGTTAAACTTGTCTTTGAGAATAACTTACTTTGCTAAAATTTTGACAAACAACGATGTGTTAGAAATACGAGTGTACGTTTAGACGTTCTAAAATACTTTGAGTAAAAGTATTGTTTCAGAGGGTTTTATATAAGGAAAATAATTAAGTTAGTGTACCCATCTGTATTTCTAAAAGCTACAGAAAATTTTGTATCAATGTCCTGCAGTGATGTACATTTACATCTGATTGGTTTAACACAATTTGTAGAAAACAGCTAACCATTTTTGTTTATTTATGTTATAACCTAGGTAATTTAATCATATTAATTTATGATTAAGTATACAATTTTTTAGCTATTGTTTTTATATTTAACTATAAATTTCTAAATAGGTAGTCTTTAATAGTATTGAAACTTTCATATTTTTTTCTTTAAAGTTGTAAATAAATTTGTCGTTTGTAATGGATTATTTTGATGATCAAGAAGTGATGAATGATTTAAAAATTGAAAAACTTGGTCGTTGTATTTTTCATCGAAGAGATATGTTTGATTGGGAAAGTAGTGAAGCTATCAATGACGTGATAACATTTGTTAGTCAAATGAATGAAGAAATTAAAGGGACAATTCAAATAGATAATAATAATATTAAACATACTTCAATACCTTGGTCATCTAAAGTAAACTTAGTTTTGGTAATTTTACAAAATGTATATGAAAGACTTATTGATCATCCATCGGATTTGAACAATAGAAGTGCATTGTATTTTTATGAACTTCACGATTATATTCGAAGTGAAGGTCATGCGGTTATAGTTCAAATGTATGGCGATAAGGGTAAACACTTAACTGTTGAATTACCTGTGTACTTCAAACGAAGCTTTGGTGATCCTGATAAAATGCAATATGGAATTGAACATGAATTGTCATTTATTATGTTTCTAATTGGATTATACAAATTAAATTTTTTGTCATCTTCGGATGGTCAATTTACTGTATGTTTATTATTTAACAGGTAGATATAAAAATATGTTTAAATTATACTAAGTAAAAACTTTATTTTTATTTATTTATAGATGACCAATCATAATTGTTTATAATTATAAATTTAGCTGATTATTATTTAAGTAAAAGTTATAAAAAAACTTATCATAATGAATATTACACACTCAAAAATATGTCTGAATTTTCAAATGTATTGAAAGTTTTTAACAAATAAAATGTAAGGGGACATTTTGATAAACAGTTTTAAAAATATCATATTTTTGATATTTTAAGTCAAAATTAAACTAGTTGTGAGAATTAAAAATATCGTATTAAAATATATTGGTACCATTTCTTTCAGTGTACTTTAATTTTATCATATTCAAATAATAATTACTATAAGAAAATACAGTATATTTTTTTATTGTTAACCATTAAATTTGCCCGATGATAATAATAAATTTGAAAATTTTTTTTCTTGTTTTTGTTTAGCATTATTTTTTTCTTGGAGAAAAAGTAATCAAATAATTTTTAGGTTCATCTCTTATCCCATAAAAAGGTACTACTCTATTTTTTTAAAGGATAACATATATATTTAAATACCTTATTTAATAGAAAGTGACTCAACTAAAGAAATGATAGGTTAATATCAACTTATGAACCGGTAGATCATATACATTATATAATATACATTATGAGAGAGGAATATAAAGCTTTAAGAACAGTTATAGAAATAAATGTTGAAGGAAGAAAAGGTAGAGGAAGAATAAAAAAGAGATGGCAGAATGTAACTGAATGCGATATGAGAACGGCTAATGTGAGCGTAGATGATGTGAGAGATTGTGTCAAGTGGAAGTTTAGGATAAGGATGGCCGACCCCAAGTAGTTGGGATTAAGGCCAGGAAAAAGAAGAAGATACATACTTAACTATATTAAAAATAGGAAATGATCGAATTAAGAAAATGACGGATTAATAACAACTTTTTGACCACAGTAAGGCAAAGAAATACAAATCCACATCTCCACCATTCTATATTTTTAAAATCGTCATACTTTCTGAAGTACTGGTCCAAAAGTTGTTATGTATGCTGCCTTTTGAAAAAATAAAGTTGACACCCTTATAATGTATAGAAGATCAACATAAAAATATTTTATAAATTATTAATTGAGAAAAACATGTACCTAGAAAAAAAAAATTCGTAACATTATTTTTATTATTCGATTAAATAGGTGGTTTATGATATCCAGTGTGTTAGAAAATTTCTTTAAAAATGTATTGTTAAGAATGAATTAAGTAATTTTGATTTATTATGTAATATATTCTTTATTAATTAGTAAACTAAAAAGAATCAAAACAAATTTATATAAAAAAAAAAAACAAGTTATATGTTATAAGACTATTTAATTATTTAACAAAAGTAAAAAAAGCGGCAAGTGTTATTTTTGTTTCATTATTGGATTAAATGTTTTTTTTTACTGATTATAACAATCAGTTAATTATTGGAATAATTAGTACATGAATTATCATATATATTTTTACATGATTATTTTGAATAACATTTGATATTTTTATTTCAAAATGTGTATATATTACAACTTACAATAAATATGATAAATATTTACTTCTTTCAAAAAAAATATGCTTTATTTATTTAACATAATAATTTCCCCTACAGATACATGAAAATTATTCTAAAAATGATCAAAAGATATAAATTAAAAGCATCAAACAATTTTGGGAATTTTGGTTTGAGTGATTTTCATTTTTTATCTTTTCTTTGGGGTAGTGGACAATTAATCGGAAATATACACAACATTATACCAATTTCTATTGATAGTTACACTGAAGCTAAAATACACAAAAATAATTATATTTTTATGACTTGTTTAAATATGATTCACAATTATGAAAAAAAAGAACCATTCTGGAAACATTCATATCAGCTATGGAACTTGAAAGCTTTGTCAAGTTGGGAAAAGGTCAACAAAGGTCTAATGTCTATGTTCAAAAAAAGTATTTTAAGTAATTATGATGTTGCTAAACATCTTTACTTTGGCGAACTTCTCAAGTTTAGAAAAGATATAAATTGTTTTGAAGAACAATTTTACAATCGATTAGAAGTACAATTAAACCAATCGAATGCTGAAGAGGTAGAAGTCGAATCATGAAAAAGCTGACTAGTTGAAATAACGTTTTTACAAAAATATAAAAAAACTATAATTTATTTACAACAACTTATATTATATTATGGTTATGACTTAATATTTAAACTTTTTTTTTTAGTGTCTTAGTTCTAGCAAAGTCTTCGCCAACGGCATCTTCGTATTCATTGTGATTGCTTTCGTCGTAGTAGGCATAGTCGTATGATGAATCTTTTGAGTCTTTATTGTCTTTTGATAATGGAACACTAATTTTAGTTGTAGTTGTGGTAGTCGTACTTGAAATTGGTGTCGTGACTGAAAAAGGTCTTGGTTTTTGTGTAGTTGGAGTTGTTACGAAAACTGTTGATTTAGCTACTCCGCCATCAAGTTTGTTAAAATTATATCCCACTGATAGTGTAGCATTAATTATTTTTGTTTTTGGCTGAATTAATGCGTTCAATTCACTAGGTCTTAAATTTGTACTATGTGCTGTTTTTAACGTTTCACCGGGTTCTTCATTTGATCGTTGATAGCTATTGTATGGATTAAATTTAGCTTTAAAATCTTTAGAAAAATGTTCGGTTGTTGACGGTAATTGCGTAGAAGCTGATGATGGTTGATATGTGTTAGTGTTGAACTGTGTTGAAGGTTGGAAGAAATTAACTACTGGTGGCTGTTGATAAACACTTGGAGCCGATGGCTGGTTGTACCTTAATGTTGAACTTGGTGATTGATTGCTCTGGAAAGTGTTTGTTTGATATGCATTGGTGGTTGGATATTGAGTAGAAGTTTGAGCTAAAGCAACTTTATTAAATTGGAAATTTTGATTGATATTGTTATTTGGTTGGAAGCCTTGATTAAAATCATTTTGTGATATTCCTTGGTTAATATTATTTGTCGTTGAAAAAGGTTGATTCGTTGTAGAAAATCCTTGATTTGTGTTATAATTAAATCTTTGATTTTGATTATTGGTGTTTTGGAAATCTTGATTTGCATTGTTTCTTTGTTGATAATATTGGAATTGAGAAGGAGTACTCATTTGAACATTATTAAAGTAAGTATTTTGCTGGAAATTATTTTTTGGTGCTTGTGTGTTGACTTTTGCTGATTGGAAGTCGTTAACATTGGATAAAATTTGTTGGTTTTCAATATTTTTAGCTTGATTTAAATTATTGTTTATTTGAGGTGCTTGTGTGTAAGCATTTATATTAAATTGAGTTGGCTGGTATGTACTGCTAACTGGTGCAAAAGTTGAGGAGAAAACAGGTTTTATTTTTTTATAATCATATTCTTCATCTTTTGCTTGTTTATCTAAGTAAGTCTTGTAATTAACACGGCCACGATCTTTGCTCCTGTATGTAGTTGGTCTGTAAGTTGGTTCTTTCAAAGTTGTTGTACTTGATGGAGCACTTGTGGTGGATGATATGGTAGAAGTCTGTACTGGTTTTCTTCCTGTTAATTGTTTTCTTGTTTTTTGTGTCTTTTTTACGTCATTCTTTGAAGATATTACTTTAGCATCATCGTAGTCATCTTCAAGTCCATGGTTTTTATTGCTATAAAAATTACCGGAACTACTACCTCGTAACAAGTCGTGTTGCAGTTTGCTATCTGTTAAATCACTTCTTTGTAAATAATAATCATCATCATGTTCTGATACTGCATTATTAATTGGAGAAGAAATTAGTGGTTTTCTATTTTTGGGCTGGTTCTGAGTTTTTGGTGCAACACTTGATGGACCAAGTGGTATAGGTGTAACTTTAGCAGTTGGATTTGGGTTTCCAGAACCTAAAAAATAATATTTTATTCTTATACTTCATAAGTAAATAATCTATCATTATTATTTATGTTTAATGTCATTTCTTAAAATCTAAGCTTATTATCAAAAGGATATGAAAATCTACATATCCCAGTGCAACGATAACGGATCCCGGTATTTACATATCAGAATCGACGCGTTACCGTCTAAGCTATTAAGTGGCTTACATAATTGTATTTTTTTTTGGCTTATTTACCTAGTCTATATAAATCAAAATTGTCACTGTAGTAAAGTGTAGCTGCTTCACAGTCTATGTTATACCAATCATCACAAATCTGATTTTCTTGATCAAACGCCGTATTATTTGGACACAAAAATCTAAAATCTTGAACCTAAAATTGTGCGTTGAGATTTTAATTTAAACGTTAAAAATAGATAAATTTAAATAGTTTGTATTTACTCCAAAACCAACAACATTAACACAAACGTGGAACATTTGACAATCAGTTTCGGGATCTGAATAATATCCTCCTACAATTTTGTCTTTGCAACTAAAACTAGTTACTGGCATTTCATTTTGTTGATAGTTTGGTGGTCTTTTCTGACCATTAGCAGCACCTTAAAAAATCATAGAAGGTATTATTATGGTTTAAGTTTTATCGTGCAAGATTAATAAGTATATATATCGTTACAGGCTAACAGCGTGACAGTCGCCAAAATCCGAATAGCGTTCATATTGAATAATATATCTGAAACATACGTAAAAAATAATTTGTATTAAAATAAAGGTGAAAGGTAAAAAGCACCTTATTGAGGTAATTTACGTATGACCCTATAGGCGCCTTATTTAACCCCAACCTCAATTAGGCACAATTGTAGTCGGTGATAGTTCAGATTTTTACACTAAAAAAATCAAAGTACATTAAGAATTGTTTAAATATGTTGAACTTGGTTTCGATAATATTCAATTACATAATAACACTAATTGATCATATATGTTATTTTATACAGGGTGTTCAGTAAATAAGGAAACGAATTTCTATTGTACTCATGTTTGTAACAATTTAACTGTTTCCTAACTTACTGAACAACCTGTATAGTTTATTATGAAATTAATATAATATATAAAGTGCTGTGTATTAACTACTTTTTTTATTTTTTCATTTATAAAATATTTTTTCTTTTATTATTATTGTAATATTCAGAGACCCTAAGAGTGTCTCCCTTAATACATTTCATTTAATACAACTTTAAAGTCCAAGTATTAATTTATTGAGTGTAATATTATCGGTTAATATCGTTGCGGGTATGTATCACTGTTATCACTAGAGTTCAGGACATTATACATTTATGAATATAAAACTTGTTTGGAAAACTTCTGAGGTAGGAATAGGTCATGTATTCGATTTATATTTATTTCATTAAATTACATAACACGTAGCATATAAAGTATATAAACTAGCGCTATACAATTTGTATTCCTATTGTTTAATAAATATTTAAGTATAAATATTTAAGTATTGAAACAGAAAACTAGTTTGTGTAAGGAATGGGTTTCATAACAATAAAATACATTATTATTATTATTATTTATTATTATCAGTTTTACAATATTATAAATATAAATATAATACTACAATATATCTTTGATTAAATTTTGAATTATTAGTGGGACTGAAGGACTTTTTTTTAAATGACATTTTATATACTAAAAGCAAAAATTACTAAATTAAAATAAAAATGTTTTTTAATTTTTTGGCATTTTCGCTTTACCCTAATGTATAAACTTTTAGACGGCGCGAAAGATGGTTGAAAATTGAATCAAAGTAACATATCTTTCATGTTTTTTATTTACTTATAATACACATTGTTTTCCATTAAATCAAAATTTATTTTTTAATTATAATGAAATATATTTGGAGAAAATTCAATTATAAATATTATTTGTAAAAAATATTCGAATAATCGAATGATCGAATAATGAACAATTTTAGAAGTATAAGATTATTTCTAAAACAAGGTATTTTTAGCGTGTAAATGAAAAATATTTAATTTTCATTTTGAATTTAAAAATATTGTTATTTTTGATAAAACTTGTTTGAATATTTTTCGTAGAATTTCTGTTTGTCTATAAATTATTTTATATTGAACTTTATTGTAAGAGCTGTATTTAACATGAACAATATGAAAAAATTAATAAAATACTGCCTTTAGTTCAATTTTCAACTCTCTTGTATTAAACCCTTAAATATTCTATCATCTTAGGATTGATTAATTTAAACCAAATTTTATAAATCTTGTTTTTTTTCATATTTGAAAAATTTTGAAAGACGGGTTGATCAAATTTTAAAATTAAGGGCCATCCTATTATACACTATACTAATGATATATTTTTTGTTTTAATAATCTCCTTAATCAAAAACCTAATTAATATACTTTATTAGGATTAAGATAAACAAAAACTAATATCTATTTATCATTGATGTACTCGGGATGACTAATATAATTTTTTTTAAATAATTTGAGTCCCGAAGCCTAGTGATCACTTAAATGATTTTACTTTTAGAATATCAGTACTTGCTTTGAAAATTAAATAAATAGGCAAAATACATGTCACACGCGTCTTGTGCACACGGGATGATTTATATGAACATTGTTTTATGATAGAATTATGTCAATAACTGCAGTATTTGCGCGTGCAACTGATAGTGGTGTGACACATTCTTAATAGAAAATTCGCACGCCGTGACAATGCATCGGATAAGAATCATATGATTATCCAATAGGGTATAGTCAAAAAGAAATGGTTGGAGTGTACATTTTCCAAATGGGAGTAATTCACAGTATAGCTGTGAGTAAGTATAACAAAAAAGATTCACTTATCGATTTACTATTATACAATCAGAATTCAGAGAAGAGGAGTAAAATCACGATACGGAATTGCCGTGAGAACGAATCTTACGGTCACGACGTCGAACTCGCTAGGTCAGTCAGATACTGTACAGGAAACCATGTGGATAAATTGTTATAACATTACTACAGTGAAGAAAGTAAAATATTGGTGTTTGGAAATGTATGTATAATGGCTGATTGTCAATAATGAGAAATATTGAAGGATACAAATTAAATCACATCATATGATAATTGATAATGATATTAAATACTACACATATTAATTTTTAGATTATGCAAAGTGTAATTTACTTTTGTACACGAAGCATTAATTAGATAAAATAGTACATATAGAAATCGCTAAAAAAATATACATTTTTCTTCATTTTATTTAAAAGGATTTTGAATCCAATTAATATGAATAAATATTTTAGAGTTGAGCGATAGTTATTTGATTTTGTTGTTGTCTTTGAAGGTCTTTAACAAAAACGTACTTATATATCCCATTATTGCAATGATATATATAGTAACCAATTAATAATATAATTTATAAAATTAAATTGTTTCGTTTGATTAGATGTTTGATTACAAAACCTTAATTTAAATATTATATACTATTAACCTTTTTAATGTCGAAATTGCCCCAAATACTGATGTAAATTGGATACAGATATGCATATTTTAAAAATATTTCAAACTACTGTATAATTTAATTTAATTTATTGCTATTAGAATTATATATTTCAATACGTTTTGGATGCGCCAATCATTATACATAATCGTATCATTAACAAAATCTGAATTTGAATTATATTATTCTATCTGCAAAAAGTGTTTCATTTGCCCGTACTAAACGAGAATTGCATCATGTTTTGTTGTTCTTAAATGAGGTAGAGAAATTCCTACTACTTCAATCAATTTTCGTGTGAATTGTGATTTACATAATAACAACGTAGGTAAACTTAACTTGTACAGACTACTACCATCGTCTAGTCTTTATCAAAGAGGAAATAATCAGAGCGAAGTATCCTACAGCCGGACATTCTTCAATTAAAATTATGTCGATAGATGTCTGTCTTGCACTACAAGAATCTATTTGTTTAATTATGTGTTGGAATTGTGTTTGCACAGGACGATTTTGAAAGGCGAGACGACGACCGCGTTGCACTTTCACCCGTGACGAGCAAATCTACCACAAATCTAATAATAACATTATCAGTTCATTTGGCCTATTAAATAATAGTACACCCACATGACCAACAAATTTGTTTTTTTGAAAGTACATTATTTTCATGCGTGTTCTTCTAATAAAGCTATTAGTTTAAAAGCGTGATTAAAATAAGAAACACCTAATATCATAAAAATAATATTTTTGTTAAATTTGTAATTCAGCGTTTTTTTTTATTTTACTTGGGTACTATTAAATTATACCTATGTTTGTAGTGGACTCTGGAATGCTATAATGATTATTATACTAATTGCAAAAAAATGCCAATATATTTGTTATTAATTTTGTAACGATCGACCTGATTTGTATACGGGATTTTTATGTTATACTGAAACAAATAGCTTGCAAATATTATATTAGATTTGTGGAGTTTCTTTTATACTTCTCAAAAATAACTATGATGACTGTGCAATGTATAGTTTGGTATGTAGTTATGTATGGTTTGGTCATCATTGTTAAGATTCTACTACAGTCACATCTTAACAATAATATGTAAATAATATTTTAAATAGAAAACTTGATGACACTCCAGTATTAGAAAACTTAAGGTACGGACGCTTATGAAATACATAATAATAACAATATGTAAATACTATACTTTTATTCGAAGGGTATAATTATTACTATTGTGAGTTCAGAGGAAGATGAGTTCAAGACTATTTCGACCACATGCCATCAATCAAAGATGTTATCCAACTATCCACACCAAAATAGGTTCGGCTGGTGCTGTGGTTTTGTTTACTAATTATAAAAATAATGTACTTGAAAAATAATTGGAATTATGAAATAACTATTGTAGGCGGTTGTGAAGATATGGCAATCTCTCGAAGTTAGCATTTAGCGTTCGTCGAATTCGATCGATTGCAATCATTAGAGTAGTGATTTTGAAATTTTACTGAAAAACATTACTAAATCGTTCACTAAATTAATGCAGTTTGTAATTCGAAAATTTTTCATGAAATCTCGTGAACTAACTCTTTTACAAAAGTCTATTGGTTAAATGTTTCTTACAAAGAATTTTATAAACTTTGATTACTAATGCCGTTGCACGATTTTTGTATCCGGTTTTTTTGCAGAGAATATCGCAAAAAAGCGTGATTTCTATAAAATCGCACAAGAGCAAATAGTGAACAAAATATGTAGTATAACGATAATAGTTCACCGTTCTCTTTTTACTGTCTCGATAAATTTCTCAGACACAAAGTATGATTAATGATATTTACCTGGTGCTACACAAATGTAGTTATTTGTAGTGTTGTGATGGTAATGATCATGCTTAATTCACTCTCAGCGTATTCAGCCAAAATGTATCATTATAAGTCTCACAAGTACGTACTCGAAACGGAATTAATTAACGGTGTTCATTCGTTTGATAGACAAGTTATAAATATAAATCGCTAGACTATGAGAGGCTTGATCTCTATGTCGCTTTTTAAGTTCTTTAATATTAGTATTAATAAGTTTTTATAATATTGAAATAATGCCATGTTTTAAGGTCGGAAACCGGTAAGACTATCAAAACCATTTTGACTATCAATTTATAGAAATAGAATAACCATAAGATAGAAAAACGATAATTTCATTAAAGTAACAACTCAATAACTTTTGATTAAACAATATAAAATTATG